AGGACAGCAGCAAATTGCAGGACCTCCTGGCCAGAGTCATAGAATCATAGAAACCTCAGAGTTGGAAGGGATCTCTGAAGGCCATCTAGTCCAACTCTCCCACAGTGAACAGGAACATTCACAGCTCGATCAGGTTGCCCCAGGGCTGATCCAGCCTCACCTTGAAAGTCTCTCAGAAGCTCTTGCAGAGCAAAGTTCCACGCTTTTCAGTGCCAGAGAGGGTTCCTGCTCTTGGAAGGTGCTTGCAGCTGAGGTGGGTTCTTTCAAGGGCTGGAATGTTTGTGTTGAAGATGCTCAGCCGTAGCATTAGTAGCAAGGAAGCACATTGTTTGTCAGCACACTGAAATAAGAAACACAGGGTGACTTCAGCTTGGCCGTGTGCTTTCTTTGCTAGCATGGGAGCTAGTGAAAATCATGAATGCGGAGTCTGACCTTAAGCCCACAGCTGCAGAGATGCTAACAGTAGGTTAACCCAGGCTGCTTCTGGTGTTTGTAGCCGATGTCATTTTGATGCATTTTTTTGTGGATCAGAACCATTTTTAATGCCAGGGAGGTGAACGTGTAGTTCTGGTCATATGGCTGTGAAATGTTCTTTATCAGCACGGATAAACTGGTCAAACATAGAGTATCTTGTAAGCCAGAGAAACCCAATCTCCTTGTGCGTGCAGCGAAAGGCAAATAACATTGTACCTGCCATTGGTTTGTACCTATTCTTTTAGAGCTGCCTTGCTTGCCTAAACATTGTATGTATCACACTGGGAGACAGCTGAGTTTCTCATTATGAAAACCAATTGCCTCCTTAAAGGTTGCAGTGTGTTGCATATTTATGACCGTTCTTCTGTGCTTTTGCCTCCCTTCCCTTTTGAATTACTGTGACTTCAACCCTTTAGTATTTTGGTTGCATTAGACAAATGCAGGAAGTTACAGCCTGTCGTGGAGGCCTCAGCTCCCATGAATTGGCTGTTTCACTCCCTCCTGTAGGTTTTCGGTAGGCTGGTTTCATTTTATACAGTTGAGCCCTTTTAGTTTCCTCCTGTAAGTCTTGCACATAGAATTTAGGACCCAGGAATGTGCCTTCATAGAGGTAAAAGTATTCCCATCTTTTATGATCTGTCACTTTCACAAATCGTAGGTGTGTGGAAGCCCAAGAGCTCAGTCTGTGCGGAGGGCTTGTGTAGCTCTTTCTTCTCAAGACGAGATTTATATCGGGTTAACCAGGCCGCTTGTAGCATGCAGGAACTCTCCTCTATTTTTACAGCTGGATGTCGGAGGCATACTGAGATTAATTCCAAGACCATTTCCATACTAATCTAATGCTTCCTAGTTGCTTTTATTCGGGGAAAAAGAATCGGAATCTTGTTTCTTCTTTTACTTCTCTCATCGTCAGACTAGGGTGAGGTGTTCAATTTTCCTTTTTTCCCCCCTTCAGCGTTCATGTTGATGTTTAGGGAGCTGAGGAGGACCTGTTGCATAGCTCTAGGCACGCCGTGTGGTATGGTACCCAGCCAAATGCTGCCTGTTGTCCTGGCAGATCTCTTGGATGTGTTTTGGAGCTTGTTCACAGCTTCAAGTTATCGCAGGCATCCGGAAATAACTTGTTAAATTCTCCAGATTGATGCTGGGGCTGATTATTGGAGCAGTAACCCTCTGTAGAAGGCATTATCTGCTTGTTGGGGTTCCTCGTGCTGCTGCTGAGGGTGGTTGGGCCCTGCTTTGTAAGCAGCATCTTCTGACTGCTGTTTGTCACTAGTTTTCAGTACTGTCTGCTGTGCTTCCCTGTTGATGCTTTCCTGTTAGTTTAGTTAAAAGAAAGACAAAAAAACTAGCTTACTGATGCTCGCTTTTACCTCCCAGGTCAAGGTGTCTTTCCTTCCAGGGAAATCCTTCCCCCAAAGAAGCAGAGGAGGGAGCAGAAAGTGAAGATTCTATAAAGACTTCTCTCTGCTGTTTTCTTTCGAACAGAAGTAGCAGTAAAGGGCACTTAATGTTGATGGCTCTGTACGCATTTGTTCCCTAGAAGTTAAGGTTCCTGGGAAAGTGGCTATTCTGCCTCAATAGCGTTGTGAAACAAAAATTTTGTGTCGTAGGTGCACTTCTCCAAAGTGGCCTGTTTGCTGATGGAGGCGTTGGACTGGTCAGGAGCTGCGGGGCACACACTGACACTGCATTGTGCACTGAGCACGCTTGTTGTTTTGTGTTTTGTAGCCCTACGGTGGATGTCTTGGGTTTTGAAAAGAGAAAAGTGTTCCTGTTAGCCTGAGACATGTCCAGATGTTTTGGATGGGTAACTTGAACAGTTTTTGTATCTGATATGTAGGTACAACCTTTAAATATGCAGCAGCTCTTGAAACAGAGCTGTAGGTAGAACGTCCTTTCTAATAAGTAGATGCAGGAAGGAAGTCAGTGGGTGCCTTAGGGCGATGCCCATGGATTGCTTCAGCATCCTTAAGCTGTTGATTATTTTTTTTTCAGACCGTACTGGTTACCTGAAGTAGGTGTGGGAAGGATACATCCCTGTATCCTCAGCCAGCAGCAGTGGTACAGTGGGAGCAGGATCGAATGGCTGCGTGCCTGCCATCTGGCTGCCAGTGCCGTGGCCCAGATTTGGAAACAAGCAGCTGGGAGGTGGGAAAGCAGTGGCTTCATGCAGCGCTTCTGCGGGCTGCCTGCCTGACATATGCAGTTGGGTGACCTGTGGAGAGGCAGGGAAGTGGCAGCCAAGGCCTGGGGGAGGGCGCATGGGTGGCGGAGTGCATGCTGCCAGGCAGGCAGCCCTCGTGACTCACAGCTTCCGTGCAGGAGCACGTGCTGGTGTTGTGCTGTTGAGCAGGAAATGTCAGATGGGTGTTTATAGATTAGAGTTACCTTCGGAGCTCTATCGAGGGCTACAGCAAGTCAACATTGAGATAAGTTGTGGTTATGTAGAGCTGGCTTTCACACTTGGAACAATTTTTCTGCTGTCCTCCCTCCTTGGACTTTAGTTGTTACCTTAGTATGACAGGTACCAAAATGCACAGTAGCATCAGAGCACCCCATTGGTTTGATAGCAGGGTTCACCATGCATGGAACCAGCTTGTGGCCACATTGCTGCCTCGCACCGCAGTTCCACAGCGGGTGAGCAGCTAAATTAAAGCACCCGCTTCTGTGCACTGGTGTGAAGTTGGGAGGAATGTACATTTACCTGTAGTCTAGGCTGTAACACCAGGTTACCTGTAATTGCAGTTTGCAAACTAGTCTTCAGTCTTTGATATCTGCGTTTAACTTGAACCAACCTCGATTTTTGTTTATATTTTTACCTTCTACTTGTTTCTGCATTAGGAAGAACTGAACAAGCACTTTATATTGATAAACAGCCAGAAGTAGGGGCAGCTCTCTGCTACAAACTGCTAGTGCCATTTCTTCATTGGCTATTTCCAGTCGGTGCATCTGCTAGTGCTCTTAATATTGCAAACAGTGTTTTTCGTGATTCTTCTTTTTAAGGAATGTTTCAGGGTGGGGAAAACATGAGGAATTTTATTTGTTTTGGTTCAAGAGTCTGGCTGCACGATGGGCCCTGCTGTCTGTGTGCTTATTTCAAACTTCTCCATAAGTTGAGAGATGGACAGCATCCAAAATTTAGCAGGAGTTTCTCATTTAGCTCAATTATTTCTTATTCCTCTGCATTTTTTTGCAAGCTGGGCCTGCGAGTTTCTAGCAGTACAAGAACAGAGTGACACTGAGACCGCTGCTGAGGAAGTGGTGTTTATAAATGGTGATGGTCACAGGCAGAGCCCTTCAGCTGTAACTCCTCATTCTGTTGGAGAAATGTTTGTTGAGCATTACAGTGTTCTTTTGCGTGTTTCAGATCTGTTTGTTTCGCTTTCCTTTCAGCTGTCAGTGCCTCAGAGTGTAACTGAAATGCCTTGTTCTGCCAAGACACCCCTGTTCTTCCTATGGAAGATCCAACTAGCTGGTGGTAGCGGTGGGTTTTAGGCATTTTGCTTTCATGAAATTCTTGCAAATGCAGAATTCTGCAGGAATATAATTTCAGTTTGTGTCATGGGCTGTGTTATGGTGAGTAAGCCACTGACAAGCACTGAAAGAAGTTCTGAAATAGGATGCAGACTTGTGAGTTGGCTCTCTGGCTGCTGATTGACATGGGGAAGCACTTGGTGTGCACAGGGGATTGCTGGTTGCTCTGCTTTGCATAGTGTGTTTCTCGGTTCCTGGGGAAGTGAAACGGTTTACAAGTCCTACTGGTTTGATCCATTAACTATTGGGGGGCCAGTGAAAAACTGCTTAAATAAAGCTGCAATTGAATAGAAGGGCTCCGTGAACCAAAACAGAACGTGCAGCTCTGATGAGAGAACAGATTGAGGATAAGTGAGGAAATTGAAGCCCAAGGAGTTTCCTTTAACTCAGTAATGATCATGTGGGGTTGGGCAACTCGAATTATAATTACCTCTTTCTATTTCTTTAAGCATCAGTCATTTCTCTCCTTTCCTTTGAACCTGCATGGAATAGTTAAGCTGCATGGCGAAAGTGAGAGAGGGACTTAAAAGTGAAGTAGGGCCCTGGAGTTAAGTGCTGACACAGCTTTCAAGTGCAAGTAGTGGGGACTTGGATATTGGCAGTGCGTGACTTCTGGTTCCTCTAGCTGCTATTCCTCTAGAATTGTTAACGTTATAGATGTTAGCAGAACACTGATTAGAAAATAGTTATGCATCCCAGTGTTATTTCTTGTACTGATGAACTGTCCTTGTCTCAGTTTTTCCCCAGTGTTGCTATCCTGAATTGCCTGTGGCAAGTGGAAATCCCTTTAAAAATTGCTCGTTACAGACTCTCTAAGTAGATGCACCTATCTTGTCCTGTTCTCATTATATTTCAGTTCAGTAATGGAAGAATAGCAACGGTCGTGTGCCTTCAAGAATGTTCTGCTTAACAAGATTAAGCTACATTCTAATGTTAGTGCTTGAGATGATGAAACTTGAATACTAATTTTTTGTTTTGTTTCTTTCAAGCAAATGGTTATGAGCCTTAGAGTTTCTGAGCTGCAAGTACTTCTGGGCTACGCAGGGAGGAACAAGCACGGACGGAAACACGAACTTCTCACGAAAGCACTGCATTTGTTAAAGGCTGGCTGCAGTCCTGCTGTACAAATGAAAATCAAAGAACTCTATAGGCGAAGGTTCCCCCAGAAAATCATGACACCTGCAGACTTATCTCTCTCCAGCGTACACTCAAGCTCCATGCCAGCAGCTTTGTCTCCATCTACCATTCCACAGCTCAGTTACGATGGCCACCCCGCCACGTCACCATTGCTCCCCGTTTCGCTTCTGGGACCTAAACATGAACTGGAACTCCCCCACCTCACATCTGCGCTCCACCCTGTCCATCCCGACATCAAACTTCAGAAGTTACCTTTTTACGACTTGTTGGATGAGCTGATAAAACCTACCAGCCTAGGTAAGCTTGCGTTGTGATATGTTTGTGTTGATGTTTGTGACTGTGATAGTGTTTGAAGATGGACTTTTTAATAGGTGGATGAATTAAGCTGCTAATGCAGCAACTGGTTAAATATTGCATCACAGCAGTGTTTAGAGAATTGCTATTTTTGGTAACTTTGGGAACAGATTGTTCTATGCAGAGAGACATCTTACGTAATGCTCATTAGTTGCTTTAGCCGAGCCATTAAATATGGTTCAAAGTTCCGTTATGTTTAAGGGGTGAGTTTGAAAAGAAACAATTGAACCTTAGGAAAAGGAACTTTAAAAAAGCAAACAAACTCCACAACTGTTTAACTTTAAAAAAACAAAAAACACACACAGAAAAATCCCTCAAAACATAGAGCTTAATGATTTAAAAAAAAAAAAAATGAAGTACTCCAACAACCTTGAGTAAGGCCCACAAAGGTCTTCTCATCTGTGCTGGGAAGGAATGCTGTGCTATTTGCCATGATCCCTTATGGACTGAACATCCGAGTTTAGGAGGACTTGTGGTTCTTCAGCTGTTGTGGCTTCTTTTCTTTAACAGTTTTTGTACCAAGGTATAAATCTCTTGGATAGCTGCTGAGCACCAGATGATGCTTACAGAGCGTTATGTAACAACGTGGGTTTTTTCTGGCTCTGACTCCACCTTGCATTTGTGAGCACGGCAACTTTTAATACGACTTCGATGCAATAGTCCTGTTGATTCCTGGAGAGGCTGCTTGTATGTTGGAACCTTCTGCCGTCTTGAAATCCTGGTGAAGACTCACAGCGAGAAGAGTTGGCAGGAGGGGGAGATGGGAGGGAGAGAGTTGGGAGGTGGTGGGGCGTGACAAGATTGTCCTTTGCAAAAGAGATTCCTTGTAAGCAGAAGTGAGCAGGTAGTTTATGCTTGTAGCCTGCGCTGCCGCAGGGCTGACAGCAGTCTGCTGTGTGAGCGAGTGTGGTTGTGTGCAGGCTTCTGCAGCACGTTGCACAGTTGTGTTTTGTTTTAGCTGTTGAATCTGAGACTGTGAGAAGAACAGATGGCTTTTGATCTTCTCGGGTTCTGGTTCAGATATTGTTTTCAAAGGTGTGCTCTATCTGTTCAGTTCTAATCTGAAGTCTGATGGATTGATAAGCGTTCCGGGCGGTGTTGGTGCTACAGGACAATTAGGTGCTCAGAATGTGTCTCATCACTTCTACGTTATTACTACTTAAAAATAACACTGTCATTTCAATAAGACATCCCGATGCAGGAGTTATGGTTTGCCTTTAGTCCTAGATGTGGTAAGAACACTTCTCTGTCAGTGCTGTGTCTGACAAACCAGCCCTGAATGAGGAGATCGTAATTCGTGCTCTGTCATTTCTTATTGCTTGAGGATTCATGTACAATAAAATGTTTTTTCCCCTTGGTGGACTCTGAGCGCCAGGGTAAGAAAATGCAAGTGGGTGAAGCTCCAACCAAGCAGTTGAAGTAATCTCTGCTCCTTTCAGTTGGTGTTAGGGCTTGTTCTGGGATTTTGTTTAGCATGTGCATCCCATGCTGTTTATCTGAGGCAGTACTGGTAAAAAAAAAAAAAAAAAAAAAGCTGTTTCTTCCTGTGCTTTTTGGGAAGAATGTTTCAGTGTCCATGCGTGTGAGCAGCGTTTGTTTCCTTTTGTAGTGGAAAGCAATGCTTCTGCAGATTGTGAAGTTGCCAGCTCTAAACGTCAGGAGGATGTTTTAAAGTAATAGATGTATGTGTCGACTGGAGCAGGAAAGTAACGATTGGATTAGTAACCAGGGGTGTGCAGCTCTGTGCACTATTGCAGGATTGTGGGTGGTTGAGGTGGGAAGGGACCTCTGGGTCCTCCTGGTCCAACCCTTACCTGAGCAGAGGGACACAGAGCAGGGTGCCCAGCAGCATGGCAAAACAACTCAGAGCCCCTGTGTGTCATCTTCATCTGTGCATTTACGAATAGTCTAACAGAAAGGAGCTCCAAGTGATATTTGTTAATACTCGCCCTAAATGGTTTGGACATTCTTCTCACTGTGGCAATGCACAGCTTTCCTCAGATCTCCAATTTCTTGGTTCTCAGGTTTTCTTTTCAAATGGCAGATGCAGACTGTGAACATTCAGAACTTTGTCATTTGGCCAACGTTTTGGGATCTCCTGCTTGCTTTTTCTTGACAGGTTCTTTATGGGATGGTTATAAGAAACTTTGGTTTTTTTCTTCATTTTCTTGCACCGCGAGGACTATGAGATGAGCTGCTGAAGAGTTTTGAATGAATGTCTCTGTTCTTAGAATAGAACCTGTCAGAATGGTAAAAGTACATGGGGATGAGTGCAGAGTCCATTGGTTTGAGGATTTTTGGATTCTTCTGAAAGAAATCATTACGTATGAATTCAGTGGATCGCATCTTTGGATCTGATTCTCTCTTGGTCTTTCCCTATTCGATGTGGGGCTGCTTGAAGGATTGCCTGGAGGAGTCTTCTGTGCCATCAAGAAGTAATTATTAATTTGGAAAACGATAATTTGACAAAGCTTGGGGGAAGGGAGTTGCACAGCAGGACACTTGAGTATGCATTCTGTGCCCAGATATTCTGTGCAAGTAGGCAGTATGCAAGCTGATGTGAATAACAGATAAGGAAATTAAATTTGCTAACTATTATTTTTAATGTCAAGAACAAAAGAAGGAAATGGAGGTTACCTTCTTATACTTGCTTCCTCAAAATGTAGCTCTGACTGCAATAAAATCTACATGCTGACAGCTAGGTGGGCAGGATTCGTTCACAACAGGGAAGAAAACAGTGCTTTATCAAACCCCCTCCTCCTCACCAGCAGCGATTACTGAGGGTCTCGTCTTTAGCATGGCTGGCTGAAATGGCTGTGACAAGCTAATGTTAGAAGGCTGTTGGCTATCTTTATTTCTGTTTGCTGTGCAGCAACCCATAAAACCCCCAGCAGTGAGTAGGATGCTCCCAGAGTCGCCTAACGAGTTGAACGTGTAAGCACAGCCCTGCTGCTTCAACCTGCTTGTCTCTGAACAGCTGACAGTAGCACCTAGATCTGGGTGGTGGTGGGACCGCTCCTGCTGCTCTGCTCACTTAGGTGCCTTGTTTTGCTTCCAACTGTTCCAACTATATAACTCCTACACAGCTGCTTGGAGCCTTGTGGCTAGTGCTGCTGGTCACGGTTCTGCTGCCTGGGCTGCTGGAGGTGACAGCGTTTCTGTGGTCCTGTAAAGGCTGCCAGTAGCCTCGTTTAGCTGAAAGGAAGAGATCTCTCCAAAAGGCAGCAGAGCTGTGGAATTTATCCATCTTTTGTTAGTCATCGTCCTTGCAACACTGAGAAGGAGCCCGTATTGGATATTTTTGTGTATGAGCCAACTCAGGATACTCATTGCTTGTTCTGAAGGTGTGTGGTGGTGGATGGATGTGTACTCTGAGCTCTTGCAGCTCTAATGAGAAGTGTGAGCACTCTGCCTTGTGCTGAACAGCCATTTCATGTGATTATATGAAGATGTTTTGGAGAAGGAGATCCCATTTGGCCTTGACGAATGTATGAAAGCTGCTTATTATTTAGACCTTTTTTTAATAGGAATTCCTTTAAGTTAGAGAATCTTGCTTCTTAGTTCCTTAAGAGAAGCTGCAGCTTTCACTGTATTTTATTTTCAGCCTTCAGTTGCTGTGCATACGCTACTAATTGGTTGTTTTTTTAAGAATAGGGCCAGTTTTCTAAAAGTAACTTCTATCACACCGATAGATCTCTTGTGTGGTAAAATGTTTACTATGAGATGAGTAATGAGTACCCGAATTCTGCCAGCTTATTATGGAAGGAACCTTAGATTGTTAAACAACATCTTAAAAATACTTCTTGTTACAGCATATGCCATTTCTAATTGCTTTAGCTATGTAGTTGTTCCAAAAAACATTGTAACTAGGCTACGGGTGTTTGTTTACCTGTGTGTAGTGGAAGGTTAACTTTTTCTTTTCAATTTAAAGGATGAGGGAGGTTATGGGCTGTGCCGTTCTGTTTTTATGAAGCTGTCTGAGCTCCACGTGGGTGATGGTCCTATGATTTGTTTGCTGTGTTTCCATGCTAAGTGATGTTTAAAGCACTGAGCCGTGGAAATGGGAATTTTGGCCCACGCATCTCAGCCTTCTGGAAGGAGGAGGCAACAATGCGGTGTTCTGGGCATCACCCCCACAAAGCAGCATCTCCTGCCTGCCAGCACCTGTGGGATGTCTCCATTGGGCAGAAGGAGCTTCTGTGGCTCTGCTCAGGTTTGTTTAGGTCCCGGTGGAATTTCTTCATCTGTGGACTATAACAGGGTTTCTCCAGAAGTCTGGGTCTCCCCTGGTGCCTGCCCTCAGAAGAGCAGCTCTGCCTGGTGCTCACTGACCGGCAGTCACGCTCCACTGTAAATGCTCTTGCATTTACATTGAAACTTGTTTCACGTGTGATTGGCCGTGGTTATTTGGACATGGCACATTCCTGAAGGCAGAGCTTGCGTCTGGTCTGACCAAAATCTTTAGTGTGGCTGTAGTTCAAGTTACAGCTATTAAACAATTAAACAAATCAAAGCAGCTAGAAATCTAGGTTGGAAACTGGAAGAGTTTTGTTTGGCAAGTATTTCACCCTTCCATATATCAGCGAGCTGATCTGCTGCTCTGGGCAATCAGAACCATGGTTTATATGAAAGTCACGCTTTTACTGTCTTCTGTGTTTGTTATTTTTTCAAATGTTCTTTGTGGGAGGAAGTTCAGCAAAACCCTGCATTCTCAGCCCAGGCCGCGCTCCGACTTCCGGCTCTGCAGCTTCGGGTTGCGCAAGAAGGAGCTGGAATCTGTGCTCTTGTTTGTGTGCTGTGGCAGAGCAGAGCTACGGCGCCCTGAAGTTTCTTTTTTGGGCTCCAGTTTTATTTGCATATGGCCTTCTTCAGGTTCACATCTTTCCGTAGTTAGTTTCTCTTAGTGTTTTTAAGTTTGGCACAGCTGTGCAGCCCTTGTGCTG